CTGGGTTCAAATCCTACCTCTTCCATTGTCTCCACTTTGTCTCTACTAACAGCTTCTCCTCCAGGCCCCGCTCCATCATGTGTGGCGTCCCTCAGGGCTCTGTCCTTGTTTCTCTCCTTTTCAACATCTACATGCTCCTCCTTGGTGACATCATCCGTAGAAATGGTGTCAACTTCCACATGTATGCGCACGACACCCAACTCTATCTCTCTGCCTTTAACCATGACTTCAGGACCCCTGCTGTCTTCACAGACTGCCCGTTGGACATCAAATACTGAATGAGAGCTAACTTTCTCCAGTTGAATGTCAATAAGGTCGAGTCCCTCCTGCTTGGTTCCCGTCAGCACCTTCATACCTTGGGCACTGACAGCATCACCCTTCATGGATGCACTCCACACCTCAGGGGGTCAATACGGAATGGCTACGTCCTTTTTGATCTTCAACCATCTTTCGACCCTCACATCTATGCCATGACCCACTCCACCTTTCCCCACCTCCGTAACATTGCCCTGCTTTGCCAAGGACTCTCACTGCAGGCCGCCGAGACTCTCATTTACGGGTTTATCACATCTCGGCTAGACTAAGCAAACTCCCTGCTTGTCGGTCTCCCCAACTCTTCCCTCCACAGACTGCAGATCATACAGAACTCTGCAGGCCGTGTCCTCTCCCTCAACATGCTCCGCGACCCTATCACCCCCATCCTCACCCTTCAAAGCCCCCATGGCCTTGCTCCTCCCTACTTCTGTGACCTCCTAACCTGTCCTTTCCCTCCACTCAGGGGATTCCGGCCTGCTTCAGGTACCCGACCTTGCCCGCCCCATCAATGGCGGGCAGGCCCTCAGCCTCTCTGCCCCCATCCTCTGGAACTCCATCCCACCGTCTTTCCGCCTTACCCCCTCCCTTGCCTCTTTCAAGACCTGTTTCAAGACCTTCATCCACGACCATACCTTCGATCACCCCCCTACCCCTCCTGATCCCAACTATCCAGGTGCGGGTCCAAGGTCCAGCACCTTGGGACGTCCTCCTGATGTGAAAGGCTTATAGAAATCATAAAATCATAGAATTATACAACACAGAGGCTCTTTGAAAAGAATTATCCAATTCAATCCCCTCCCCCGCTCCCTCCCCAAAGCCCTGCAAACTTGTCCTCCTCAAATAATTAAGGTTAAGTCTCCTCTTAACCTTCTCTGCTCCAAGAATAATTCTATAGCCTCTCCTGATAACTGAAGTCCCTTATTCCTGATACCATCCTGGTAATTCCTAAAGTGTGGTCCCCAGAACTGAACATAGTATTCTAGTGTTTTATCATAACTTTCTGACCTTTGTATTCTACGTCCCTATCTATAAAGCCTAGCATCCTGTATGTTTTTTTNAACAGCTTTCCTACCTATCCTGCCACCTTCAGATTTACTTATATGAACCCCCAGTTCTGTTCCTTCAACCCCTTTAAGAATCTACCATCAGCTTATATTGTCTCTCCTCATTCTTCCTCCCAAAATGTATCACTTAACACTTTTCTCCACATTAAACTTCATCTGCCACGTGTCTGCCCAATTTACCAGTCTGTCTTATGTTCCCTTGCAGTCTGCTACTATCCTCCTCACTGTTTACTACTTTTCCTAGAATCTGCAAACTTGGAAATTGTACTCCTTATACCCAAGTCCAGGTCATTTATATAGATCAAAAACAGCAGTAGTTGCAATACCGATCCCTGGGGGAAATCACTGCACACTTCCCTCCAGTCAGAAAAACAATTGTTCGCCACCATTTGTTCGCCACCATTCTCTGCTTTCTGTCTCCAAGCCAGTTCTGTATCCATGCTGCCACTCTCTTTGATACCATGGGCTTCTATTTTGCTTACAAGTCTCAGATCCGAACAATTCGTTGTGGAGAAAAAATTCTCACCTCTCCCGTTTCTTTTAACTATTTTAAATCAGTGTCCTCGGGTTACCGACCTACCCGCCAGTGGAAATATGCATTGCCTGAAAGGGTGGTGGAAGCCGATTCGATAACAACTTGTATCACTTTAATAAGCGATACATTATTAAATAGGCAGATCACAAGCCTGTCATGAAATACTGTATTGTACTTTATCTGGCCATTTCCATTTGCAATAAATCACTCACCTGATTTCAACAGGGAGCCTCCCTCCAAATGTCTACGGATAGTTTGGTTGCAGCAATGAATGGAGTATCAGCTCTGGACAGATCTCTTCAATGGGAAGAGATCCAAAAATCTCAATGGGATTTTTGGGCTAACTGCCAACTGACATCCACTTACGGAACAAATTTGCTAAAATAGGAAAGATGCGAAACAGAACAGGGATAAAAATAGTTCCTTAGTTTGTATAAAAATATCTTTAAATAATGACACTGTGAATAGACCAGGGATCAGGGTCAGACAGATGGTCACTTTGATAAGCTTAATCCAGCAACTGTACAAAATGTTGGGCTTCTGTCTGTAACTCAATCCTAGGAGAGCAAGGGGTGAAGATCAAAGATTGCATTTACTGATTTTAAAACATTTACATTTATTGATTTCAAACGAATGAGATTAAAATCTGGATTTAAAATTTATTTTGAAATTTATTTCCAGACAATTGTTACATTAGCAGTCGGAACAAAGCAAGTCTTGTTGCCGAGTGGAGGACACTGCAGCTGAAATCAACCCCGTCCATATCCTACCTGCACGTTTCCAGAGCCAGGCCAGCCTTTCTTTCTCCTCCTCCGTTACTATATAACAAATTGCATTTATATAGCACGCTGCACAGAATAGTACCTCAGAACAGTCTACTCCAGCTCCTGTACCAGTGCGGCTGAGTAATAATCCTTGCATTTGATACAAACCTTATCAAGACAACAAAATATCTCAGCACGATTTGCAGTATGGTGGAAACTGATTCAATAACAACTTTCAAGTAGATAGATATTTGGGGAAGACAAATTTGCAGGGCTATGGAGAGAGCGCGTGGGAGTGGGATTACTTAGGACAGCTCTTTCAAAAATCCCGGACGGACATGACGGGCTGAATAATTCTGTGATTTACAATAAGTGAAGTGTATTTTTAGGTGAATGCAGTAGCCAATTTTTTGTTGTGCACAGCAATAAATGGCCATAATGTGAGTGACTGGTTTTAGTTGGGGCATTGTTGACCAGGTGAAACTCCCTTCTCTTTTGCAATTGTTCCATGGGATCTTTTAACATCTGCCTGAATAGACAGACAGAAACTTGGTTCAATGTTTCATCTGAAGGACGGCACCTCTAACAATCCCAACACTGCACTAGTGTCAGCCTCTTCGTGGTTGAGCTCAAAGTCTGATTGGATCTTGAACTGACACCTTTCTGACTCGAGAGACATAACACTTTAGAAAACAGCACTTCACAATCACCCATTACAAGATTTAGGGTAACTTTGGCCCACAGAGGGTGCTTCATCCCTTAATTAACACCCCTATTGTCCCTTTGATCGGTGTGCGCCACACATTGCCATCACAGGTGCCAATGGTCACAGTTTAGCATAAGCCAAAAAATGCTTCAGCTGATATACCATTAGTATAATTGGAGTCTTGTAGCTCAGTGATTAGAGCATTCGCCTCGCAAGCGAGACCTGGATTTGATTCCCGGCAGGGCAAAACGTTGGGCAGGTTTTCTTACTCCACACGCCTGTTTACCTAGCAATAAATAGGAACCCTATTTAGTTGTTTTGTTAGTTGAATGGCGGATCACTTTCCTGAGTGTAATAACTCCTTCAAAAAAAATTGGGTCACTCAATCCATGACTGTTTGTGGGACACTGCTGTGCGCAATTGGCTACTGCATTTCTCCCACAAAAGTCAATTCACTTTATTCTGTGAAGCAATTTGAGACGTCTTGAAGACATGATAAAGCATAATATTAAATGCAAGTATTATTATATTATTACCTATCTCTCCGGTTTCCTTACCTATAGTACTGGGGCAGGGAGTCTAGAGAAGGGGTCCATAGACAGTGAGAATTAAGGGGGTGTTTTCTCCAGTTGACAGAGTAGTTAATGGTGTGCTTCAGGGATCAGGGTCATCTTCTCTTCTCTGAAAATGATCGTATTGCAGGAGTTACAATAGAATAGCTCTGGGACACTACCCTGCATGAGGTATACTATATAAATGCAAGTTGTTGTAATCTTTGCTTTTGATATAGCACTTTTATCACTTTATAATCAGGTTGCAAATACACTGCTTCTCCAGCTTGGCATGCTGTTGACAAGCTGTGTAGGAAGAATCTCAGGCCCAGTGAATGATCTGCTCTTCTACAACAAGATACAACAAGATTCCATTTATAGAGCGCCTTTCACGTCAGGAGGACTTAGTAGACTTAGAAGTTAGCAGACTTCTAAGTCCTACTAACAATCCATGGGGCTGTTCGGTCAACAGTGCTTCAGTCCTGAGGATTGAATGGATTTTGATATACCATTGCCAATAAGGGGGAAGGTAAATGAGAGGTTTTCCCTAATAGAAATGTTTCAAGTGCAGGTTCCAGCTCTCGTGAGGCAAATAGCAGGAACTCCTCTCTGCCTTACAGGAGCGACAACAACTTGTATTTATATAGCTCCCTTCACACAGGGTAGCGTCCCAGAGCACTTAATGCACAATGCAGTGAGGCCACCATCCTCCTGATCAAGCTGCGAAGGCCCAAGGTCCTAAAGCAGCTTGTTACATTGCTCCAGACCAATTAAGGTAAGCACCTAGCCATATAAAGAATCCCTGAAGCAGTTTTGTTCCACTCCCATTTCCTTATTAGCCAGTCAAAACATATACCTTCATCATGGTGGAAGGACCAATACATGTCCTATTTCCAATCAGATTAACTACTCCACCCTGTTAAACTTGGTCAGGTTAGCACCAGATTAGAGTACATTCCTGAACATCGGTTGTTGAATCATATAATACTCCTTGTATGTAAAGCCGTTACCCTCTTCAGATTACAGGTTTGATATCAGCCTTTCACATGCTCACGTCAGTCTGGCTAATCATTTAGCATTGTTTTATTCCCACAGAAATGACACCACACGTTTTCCAATATTTAATAAGCCCTTCCAGATACAATGTACAAAGGCACACACCTGCCTACACTCCTTTCCTCATTTCAAGGAGACCTTGAAAAGATAAAGGATTCTGTTCCTAAAAACTTTCTGCATTGAAGTGTCTCTCAGTCTGGCCCAAGGCAACACTGGAGGTAGATTCTTCAAACTGGTGGTGGCATTGGGAGATGAACGTGACTTATCAGGTGGGAAGAGAGGAAAAGACAATATTTAATACAACACTTTCTCTCTCACACACGCTGGCAGTATAATCTCCACCTGCTGCAGGTCACTGGATCTTAAGGCACAGTTCCATTGAGTAGGTGGAAACCAAAAATTCAACTAGCAGCTCAGATCCAGGATTGCCATTCTCAGCACCAATCACCACCACCCTAGCCTGTTTCTGAATGTGTGAAAAAGGAGCTTCAAACTCTCACTGTCTCATGGCTATAAAACTGAGGCTTCCTTACACCCTGGAGAAACAATGGACATTTTACTGTAATTGCAGTGGCAAAGATACTGCCACAGCAGGAAGAACATCGCTACCAGCCCAGGGAAGCCTTCATACACTTTAGAAAGATCCAAGAAGCTATCCTGTGCGTGGAAGGTGTAAAGTGTCAGGATGTCAGTGAGAAAAGTATTGGACATAGGTGCAATGGCACAGAACAGCAATGGTCTTTAAAGGGCAAACCTTTTTTGGGAAGTTTGCTATTAGATAGAAAGCCAAAAAGAGCAGCACTCAAAGGTCAGTCGAGGTAACACACCTAATGTCAGAGCTAGAGAAAATGTAGGGTCGAATTAGAACCCCAAGCCACGGACTACGACACTAACTGATGTTAAGCAGTCGCCTCTTTCCTCCTTCCACACCAGGGGGCATTGGCAAAGCTCAATTGGCTGACCAGCTCAATTGGCTGTATAGCACCGAACAGGAACAAGGCACCTGAGTGACTGAAGGCTGGAGTAAACGAGCAGAGTCACCTGGAATGTTACCTCAGCCTTACCAGAGAAACATTCTTGGAAGCTAAGAGAATATCAATAGACCTCCAGGTGTAGTGCCAGGATTATACAACCAGATAAAATACTTTGATATAATTTGCATTTAAAAAACAAATAAATCAGTAAATTAAGAGCACCCAACTTTTTGATTTGAATTAAACATACAAAAGGTTAAGAAGATGTTAAAACTTTTGAAATAATTTTCACACAAGTTGAAATAATTACAATGAATAATTACAATGCTGCACCAGCTTGCCGTCTGCTAGCTATTCTGAATAAATATATAAGGCCAGTCAGTGCAAGATCTGGGAAGCAAGATCTGGGAAGCACTGTGATCATACAATGATGTACAATGTGCTGACAACAGTGTGAAATTCAAAATTAGACAGGGTGTATGTGTGTGCACGTGGGTCAGATTAGTTTGCAAATCGCTTTGCTGAAAATTTAAACCACTTCATTTTAGGTTGCATGAAGACTTGGAAGGTTTAGAGTTATTGTGCATTTTTCAGGACGTTGCTTCTTGTGCTGTTACAGGGAAGGAACAAGAAGGGAGTCAATCACACACCCTCCCACAAAGTAAAATATCTTCATTATGGTAATTTTAGTGTGCTGCTCCCGCCAAGGCAACTGTGTACCTTTCCTCTCCTGCAAATTTTGGCTCCATTATTATTGTGCATTTGTATTTTACAAAGGAGAACGCAGGTGTTTTAAAAAAACGCTGTTAGAAAATTACAAAACAACCACCCACTTATTTTTCTGCTTTTGTTTTTTTTGCAAAATTAAATGATTTTTTGAAATATGTATTAATTTACCCCAATAATATATTTGCACTAGTGACTAAAATGTGTAAGTTCACACAGTAAGGGAAAAGGTTCAAGCGGAATCGCTCCTTAAGATAATGTCAGCAGAAGCAGCCCATGTTAGCACACCTTCCGTCAACCAGTCTTGCACATTATAGGATTTCATGCTGTTCAAGTGCTGATTTTTGTAAATAATAAATGGATAAAAAGCAAACACAGCTTCCTTTGCCATGTGCACAAAGTTCTAAAAAGGTCCCATGATTTGCGTCCCCAGTTCGGGAAACCCTGTTGAGAGTTGAGTTTTATATCTGTGACCAGCAACAGAAACATTTAGAGAGGTGTGACATTCTATCTGCTGTGGCTCCTCACAGGACATCTGCTCTCTTGTCCCGGACTTTGTTTCTTGCCTTGGTTCGAGCTTTGAATGCTGCAGAATTGTACATATGCTGTTTGAGGGAAAAGTGAGATGAAAGATTGGGAGATGGTTATTCAGTCCTGGAGTTCTCTACCAAACATTGTGCATCTACACATTTTTTTATAAAAGGAATTAAACAAACCGAAAAGGACAACCATGACAGTGTGTGGAAAGTCAGAGTAGCAAAACACTTACAGAGATAACACAGGCACAAAGATCCAGAACAGACTGTACTAAAAAAACTGATTCTAACAAATTATTTTATGTAAGAACTCATTTTGGAGTCACTTATTTTGGGGGCAAGGATCCAGATTGGAGAAAAGGGGAAGGCTGACAAGGTAATAAAGACTGCAGCCAAGCTGGTGAAAAGCAGCCACAGAGCAGGTGTGTCCACACAAGCCCATCTTTATAACCCTATTAATGGTTTATTACACATCAGCAATGGGAGCCATTCTGCATTCAGGCAGCTAATTGCAGGGAGGCCCTCACTCAACACAGCGGTCTCTGATTTGATCACCAGCCTGCTATGGGAACGAACCTTTGGTGAAGAGGAATTAGCAACACACATCTCTAGTCGAGAGGGATCGATGAGAAGAGATTATTAAAATGCAGCCATTACACCTCACAGTAAAATCTTGTTAGGCGTTTTGAGATCATAGAATCATACAATTATACAGCCCAGAAGGAGCCATTTGGCCCATTGTTTCTGTGCCAGCTCTTCGTAAAGAGCTATTCAAATCAATCCCACTCGCCCACTTTTTCCCCCATAGGCCTGCAAACTTGTCCTTCACAAATAATTATCTACTTCTCTCAAAAAGTTGTTATTGAATTAGCTTCCACCATCCTTTCAGGCAACACACTTGCTGTGTGAAAAAATGTCTCTTTTAACAATTATGTCTCAACAATGTGATAAGGAGCAATATCAAATGCAAGGAGTATTACTACAATAGCAACATTACTCAGATGGGATTACAATTATATTAATGAATCAATTAAATACTGTCCTGTGATGAGCCACATAAATGTCCATAATTAATCTCAGGAGATGCAGATCACCCACAAAATATACGTCAAATTCATTTTATAATATGTGAAGCGTTTTGAGACATCTCGAAGACGTGATAAGGCGCTATATCAAATTCAAGGATTATTATTATCAGAGCAGAATGATCCCCTGACACAGTGAAAGTCAGCTTCTTCATGCTAGTGATATTGGTGGGTCTGGAAAGCCAAAAAGCCAAAGAATACAAATGCTGACAAAAGTAGCAAGACTAAAACCACTAACCCTCTCGAATCGCGAAATCTTATTGGCTCGAATGGTGGTGGCATCCAGTACCAGAGGCGGCCCCAGATCAAAGATGTCCCGCAGCAGTTCGTTGTTCTGTGGGAAGAAACCATAACATCAGCTGAGAGCTCCAACATCTCCTAAAGAGCAGCATGGCACTATTGTTGCCATCACTGGATCCAAATCTTTTAAAGAATGAAATAGCTGAAAGCAAACCCTAGATCTCGCTCTTGCTGGATTTGGAAGAGAACAGCAGTGAGACACTACAGTCACTTGCACTCTGGTAAAGCTGAGATTCAGAAGATTTACCGCATAATTTGTCAGTCATCTGTATAGCGCCTTTCATGTCGGGAGCCTCAGGATAGAAGTGAAGGGAAGAGTTCAGAAATCCGGCAAGCAAAGTTGGAGTAGTGAAGCCTCGACGTGATAAATGTGTGGATTACAGTCTTGGGGGCCTGAGGGAGAGGTAGTACCGGAGGCGGTCAATGTTATGGAGGTAGTAAAAAGCTGAATGTGAGAGCACAAATGCAAGGTTTAAGAATGGGAGTCAAACAAGACACCAAGGTTCTGTGCTGGCTTTGTGAGGTAGAGAGTGCATCCACGTAGATTGATGCTTTCAGCACCTTAGGTGAAAGTCAAGCAGAATGGGCTCATTCTTGTCGATATTGAAGTGGAGAGAGTTGGCTCTCATCCAGGACTTGATGGCTGACAGGCAAATCGGTAAAAACAGCAGTAGTCCTGGAATTGAGGGTGGAGGTAGATAGAGTTGGGCGTCATCTACGGTGGAGGGTAGGTAGGAGAAGTGGCAGATATGAAGTGGTGATGTTGGGACAGGGTTAAGAGTGGTTCCAGAAAAGGGCAACACTGTGAAGGTGGAACTGAGAGAAAAGGAGGTGGAGAAGGATAGGGCGATCAACAGTATCGAAGGAGGCAGAGATCAAAGATGAGAAAGCAGAGGCCCTGGTCACACATGGAGAATGTTGTTGGTGACTTTGGCCAGGGCAGTCTCGATACTGCGGGCAGCGTGGAAGCCAGTTCGGAGGAGTTCATGCAGGAAGAGAGCGAAGCTGGGAAGCAATGAGTTCCAGTACCTTCGGGAGGAGATAGGACGTTACTTTGGGAACAAAGATAGGTCAAGGGAAGGTTTTTCAGAAGGGGATGATGACAGCTGATCTTAAAACAACAGAAAGGGAAGGCTACAAATCCTGAGATAAACCAGGTTAGAAACACCTTCTCTGTAATCCTGTCCCTAAATCGTCCGCACAAACATCCCCAAAGCAATAAGCACTAAACAGAACCACAGCAGCATCAGCCTGGCATTATCCCTAGTACGATGACTCACCAACAAGTTGCCTCTCATCTAGGACAGGTGTCTCCAAATGGGCGATTGGGGCTGAACGCTCCAGTTAAGGAGAATTATTGTTTCAACCCAAAACACCTTTAATTCTTTTGCCTAGATTTTCATTATTCTTTTACCTGCAGATGGTGCCTGACACCGGATCCCAGAACTTCCTTGAAGGCATCATATGTTCTTCTTCTGACCCAGCTGTCTATGTAAAGGCACTCCACCCCAAACTTGATGGTCTCCTCCGGACACTCACCATCCTGAAGCAAGTTAGAGCTGGTTATTTACAAAGCACCTTTGGTTCCTGGTCGAATCACATCCAAATTTAGCAGTTTTAATCCAACCCTTCTATAATAGGATTGAAAATGTTTGCAGGTCGGCACTGAGTTAAAAAAACCCAATCCAAAGTTTATTCTCTTTGGGAAGTCATAAGAACCAACTGATTATATTACAGCCTTGTATCACACTTCCTGCCATACATTATCCCATTAGTACAATAAATTGACTCAACGACTGAAATGTGAAAAGCCTGTGTGAAATGTGAATCATCCTCCCTCCCTCCCTCCCTCCCATGCTCTCAAAGCTGACAAACTCTACATAGTGTGAGATAGGAAAGTCACCATATACTGTAGTCTTCACCAATCGTACAGAAGACCTGAGCAGCAAAGCAAAGTTACTCATCTTATTATCCAATTAACATATTGCATTTAGACAGCATCCTCACGTAGAATGATGTCTCAACGCGAATCAGAGTGGCAGGGCTGGGAGCTGAGCTCAAAGGAAGGGGAGGGTAAGTACACCGCAGTTCACTGGTAAAGATACAAGTCACTTACCGAGACAAATCAAGTAAATATTTATATCTACCATGAGGTGAGTATTAGCGACGCATATAAGAACCAGCCTGCTCTGAAGGACTGACTCCTGCCATTGATAATCAGAAAACCGTGTTGAAAACTGAACAATCCACACCCATTTTGAAATGTTTTTAAAAAAAATTTTTTTTATTTTGTTCATAATAAGACAAGGAATCTCATAGAAACAGGAATAGGCCATTCAGCCATCGAGCCTGTTCCGCCATTCTATAAGATCGTGGCTGATCTGTACCTCAACACCAATTTCCATTATCCTTTGGGTGAAAAACTGCCTCCTGATTTCACTCTAAATAGCTTGGCTCCAATTTTATGATTATGCCACCTTGTTCTCAATTCTCCCACCAGAGAAAATCGTTTCTCTGTGTCTGCCCTATCGAATCCTTTACCATTTTAAAAATCTCAATTAGATCACCCTTCAAACTTCTAAACTCAAGGGATTACAAATTAAGTTTATGCAACCTGTCCTCATAATCTAATTCTTTAAGCTCTCGTGAATCTGCACTGCACCCCCTCCAGAGCCAATGTATCCTTCCTGAGGTGCGCTGCCCAAAACTGAATGCAGTCTCCAGATGGGGTCTGACCAAGACTCTATACAGTTGAAGCATTGTTTCCTCTCCTTTATATTTCAGCCCCCTGAGATAAAGGCCATCACCCTATCAACCTTTTTGATAACTTTTTGTACCTGTGAGCTTGTTTTTAGTGATTTGTTTAACATAAGATACCCAAATTCCTTGGTTACTCTACAGTTCTTAGTTTCACACCATTTAAAAAATATTCTGGATCCATAGTGGATGACTTCAGACTTCCCCACATTGAATTCCATCTGCCACAGTTTTGCCAACTCACTTAATGTGTCTGAGTCCCTTTGTAACTTCGTGTTCCTATCTACATAATTCACAGTGACTAATTTTGATATAAAACTCTCTTTTCCTTCTTCCAAGTCATTTTTATATATATATTATATGGTGAAAAGCTGAGGCCCCAGTACAGACCCCTGGGGAACGCACTTGCCACGTTCCACCAATCAGAGCACATTCCTTTTATCTCTACTCTTTCCTACTTCTTAACCAATGTGGAGTCCTGTAGCTTAGAGCACTCACCTCTCAAGTGAGAGGACCTGGGTTCGATTCTCAGGCAGGGCAAAACATTGGGCAAGTTTCCTTACTCCACATGCCTCTGTTCACCTACAACAACAACAAATTACGCTTGTATAGCGCCCTTCACATCGGAAAGACATCCCAGTGCTGTGGACCTGAGCTGGGAGTTGCAGTCAGAAGGGGGGGGGGGGGGGGGGTGAAAGGAGTGTCCGTAGGCACGATCGAAGAGGAAGATCTTCAGACGGGACTTGAAGGAGGTAAGAGAGGGTGTGCAGTGGAGGAATTGCGGGATAGAGTTCCGGAGTGTGGGGGCAGAGATGCTGAATGCCCCACTGCCAATGGTGGGGCGGGAAGTGCAGGAGACCTGAAGCAGGCCAGTGTCCGACGAGCGTAGCGAGTAGACAGGCTGATATGAGGTTATGAGATATGAGGTTACACCTAGCAAACAGTAGGAACTCCGTTATTAGTCGATTGGCAGATCGCTTTTCCAGGGGTAATAAACCCTTCAATTTTTAAAAAAAATAATAGTAATTTGGTCACTCAAACGACTATTTGTGGGACACTGCTGTGCATAATTGGCTCCCGTGTTTCACCCACAAAATATACAGTCAATTCACTTTACAGTATATTCCGTGAAGCGTTTTGAGGTGTCTCAAAGACGTTATAAGGTGCTATATCAAATGCAAGGATTATTATTATTTCCAAGCCATGTCGCAAGGTTACTTCTGATTCCATGCGCTTTCATTTTTGCTAATAACCTCTTATGCGGAACCTTATCAAATGCCTTCTGAAAGTCCATGTAGACCATAATTAATTATTTTCTCATCACTTCGAAGTTTGCCTTTAAAATCTTGGTTTGCGACTTTCTCCCTCACTTCTCCCTCTCAAATCTTATATCAAATTCAATCATATAATAATAATAATCCTTGCTCTGATTCCGACATAGATCACGACAACTGGCTCTTTACCCTCCTTTTCCAAATTCCATTCCAGCTGCTTCAAAATATCCCTGACCCTGGCATGGTTTCCTCCTGCCTGAAACGAGTGTATAAAATGACAGCTTTTGCTGTAAGCCTGTAACCATCTACATTTAGACTTCAAAACACATTGTACAGAGGACCATTACATAGACGTGTTAGCAGTCCAGCACAGGAGGAGCCTGCTGGATCCCAAATCCCCAGTGGCCTTATTTGTTCTAATCCCATTTCACTGCTCTTTTCCTACAGCCTTCTAAAGCTTTAGTCTTTAGAAATGTCTTGAATTCCTTTTAAAATCATGTAATGGACTTGGCTTCAAGTCATTATTTGCAATAACGTATTCAATATTGAAAGAGTCAGAACAAAATTTTCATTTACTCAGTCACTTCAGAAGTAGGAATTGAACCAAGTTCTAGACATTTTAGGCTTACTCACTGGACATCCTGTTATCCAAACAAAACATTTCTTACTGATGCATTACAGTAAGTTGCTTCCACTGCACAGGTGGTATCAGCTTGACTCAATCACTAGCATTCTCCCCTATGAGTCAGAAGGTTGTGGGATCAAGAGCCATTGGTTGTCCAGGCTGAAACTCCAATGCAGTGCTGGGGGTGCACAGCATTCTTGGCATTGCAGTCTTTCAGATGAGATTTTAAACAGAGCCACTGTCTGCCTCTTCAGGAAGACATAACAGATGGAACAGCACTATTTGAAAAGAGAAGTTTCTCTCTGTGTCCTGGTCAACAATCCTCAAATAATATTGTCATGGCTGGGTGCAAATTGTCTGCCTTGTTCACCTACAAAAACAGTTACTATATTTTACAGAAAAATCCCATGAAGCGCTTTGAGGTGTCTAGACTAACATGATAAGGCTGTGAATGAACTGCAAGGGTTATCATTAAATAATCCAAGGTACTGGAATAGTACACCCATGGAACAGTATTCCATTAGAAGGAAAAAGGTGAAAAGAATCTTTGAGAAATGTGTGTACAAATAAACACACATAAATATATATGTATATATAAAATATATATGAATCGGCACATTCCATTAACAACTCAGCAGCTGCTTTAGTATCAGTGAAGTTTGTCATCTCCCAGGAACATTCTTAACTGGTGAGCACCTGTCTAGTCTCATCACTGAGAGCCCCATCAGCTAACATCCTCTTTGAATGAAGTTATATGATATATTTCACTGGATTAGACTTTAATAAACTCCAGAATGAATTCCCTCCCAGCAGGTCATGAATTCTGGATGAAGAAGATCCTTCTGACCTCACTGTCTGAGAACACCCACCCTATTGGATAGTTTGATTGTGTGGGTGTTCTGGAAGAATGAAATCAGAAGTTTTGTTTGGGTGAAATGTTGAAAGTCAGCATGTCCTGAAGAGCTTTGCAATGCTTCTTTAATAACAAAAACATATTCCCAAGTGATCAACTGGAGAGAAAGGTGAAGACGTTTGGTTAGGTGGATAGATTAAAGGCTTGAAATACTATCCTGCGGGAAGGACGCTAAATCAACGCAAGTTACTGTTGGCTAGATGATTAGTCCAGTCTGTAACTTACCAGATTAATAAATGCCTTCTTTTAGAAAAGCACATGTAAAATAATTGAATGGAAAATACATTGTTTTTCTTGAAAGAAGCAGACAGTTTATTACCCATTACCTAAACTGGATATATATTGTTTTTCCAAACTGTTATTTACAGAAGCACTTCATCTGTGTGTGCATACATAACTGAAATGAGCAACTGGATCAGATGGGGACAGGAGAAGGTTTAGCAACACTAATTGTGTCTGAAGATTTGCCACCAGCACTCTGGCTAGTCCTGCACGCAGAACCCATCTCCAACTTCAATGGGAAAAGTAACCAAGGCAGAACCTACCTCAATAGAATGGATCACATCTCGGAAGATGGAGCGCTGCTTCCTGCGATCAGTTTTTGCTCTGTATTTATTACTGTCCGTCGCTAGAGCCTTCAGTTTTTCACAAAGATGATCAGAATCCTCGTACAGAAACTCCTTTAAAACAGCAAAGAAGCAATTTCTTACCAATTTGCTCAGAGTAAAGGAGCTAGTGTATGTTTCAAGCCACACATCCACAGGTTAAGTGTGGCAATCAGCATTAAAGATATACAACAAGAGGACACAGGTTTACAAGCTGAAAGAGCAACTTAACTATCGTTTCCATAGAATGAATATATATATATGATTTAATAACTGTAGTCAGGGAGCAAAATATATATCACAAGATTGGTCTGGTTGAAGGCTCTTCGGACCATCTGATGTTATCCCTCCACACCACTCACCCTACTGTCTACCCATCACAGCATCAAGCTGCTGTTTAAATGAATGCAAGTGTCCTAGGATCAATCACCTTCCTAGTAACGTGTTTCAGTGTTAATTACCCTCTAAGTAAAAAAAAACTTTCCTGGTGTCTGTCCTGAAATTGACCTTTACAACTGTAAATCTGTGTCCATTGTACTGCATCCTAAAGTATTGATCTGGGTTTACTATTTCAATTTTATTTAAAATGTTATAACCTCTAAGGTCCTTCTGAGAAGTTTTCTCAAGTCTGAAAAGCCCTAGCTTGCCTAACCATTGCTCATAGCCTGGGCCAATAGAAAAGCACGGCAGCAATTTTTCAGTGAAATCCGCTATAAACACCCCCTTCACTACAAATACACTAAAAATGTGTTTCTGTCCCCGGGCCTCTGCGTTGTTTATCTGACGCAACTATGGGTGGGACAGCTCCGGAAACGCACATGCGGTGTGGCACAAGCAGCAAATGGGCTTCACTCCATTCAGAGGTCCTGCTGTTGTGATTGTCTGTGTGTGTGAGTCTCTTTCTGTTTGTCTCTATGTGTTTGGTTAGTGATTGTATGAATGTGTTTCAGTGTCCCTTTCTATGTGTTTGTGAGTGTGTCTCTCCCCTCGGTATGCGTGTCTGTTTGTGAGTGTCTGTGTGAGTGTATCTGTGTCTCTCTCTCTTCTGTATGTATGTGTGTGTCTCTTCTATGTGTGTATTTCTGAGAGTCTGTGCGAATACCTCGCCTGTCTGTATGTGTGTGTGTGTGTGTGTGTGTGTGTGTGTCTCTCTCTCTCTCCCTGTGAGAATGTGTGTCTCTCTGTCTGTGAGCGTGTCCATCTCTTTGTCTCTCTCTGAGTGTCCATGTTGGATCATTACTTCACCTCCTAAATCCCTCTCCCACCACCACCTAATCCACCTCCATCTCCTGTAGCTCAGTGGTTAGAGCACTCGCTTTGCAAGCGAGAGACCTGAGCTCAATTCCAGGCACAGGGCGAAACCTTGGGCAAGTTTCCTTACTCCACACAGAGCCTAATAATAATCCCTCCAAAACCAAAAACAATAATAAATTGGTCATTTTCAATCTACGACTATTTGTGGGACATTGCTGTGCGCAATTGGCTGCCGGATTCGCCCACAAATATACAGTCAATTCAATGTGTTCTGTGAAGCGCTTTGGGACGTCCTCCCGATGTGAAAAGCGCTATATCAAATGAAAGGATTATTATTATTATTATATCTCCTATCGCCCCTGGAAAAAAAGCTCCCGACCCTCCCTCTCCGCTACCTTGGGAGTCATCTGAAATCCCCCCCTAGGCTTCCTCCCGCAATGACCTATCCTACTTGGTCACTCTCCTCCACAACTCCCTCTCTACCACTCTCGATGTCCTTGCTCCCCTCACTTCTCGAACCGTCTCCTATTCACAAAAGTCACCCTGGTACACCAGCGACCTCTGCTCCCTTAAGGCCCAGATGCGTGTGCTGAATGCACCTAACTCAAATCCAACTTAATTGTCCATTGGTAGATCTGGCTGGACCTTATCAAATCTTATCTGCCCTCGCCTCAGCTAAATCGGACTTCTACTCCAAGATAATCTTGGAGGCCAAGGACAACCCTAGGCTCCTTTTCTCCATCACCAAGTGGCTCCTCCGCCCACACTCTCACACCTTGCCCATCCTCTCCTCCAACACCAACTGCAAAGCAATGCTGGACTTACTCGAAACCAAAGTTGAGGGGATCCACTCAGCTGCCTCTTCTCTTCTGTCCACTACACCCTCCCCATCTACCCCTCACACCCCGGCCCCTACCCATCCCTCCCTCCACACCTTCAAACTTGTCTCCCACTCCTCTCTCACCACCACTATAACCCGCATGAAACTGACCACCTGCTCCCTCGACCGCATCCCTACCCCTCTCCTTACCTCCCAAGTCTACCTGCTTGACCCTCAACTCAGACATCATAAACCTCTCCCTGTCCACTGGCACTGTTCCCACCTCTTTAAAAACGCTGTCATCACCACTATCCTTAAATAACCCTCCCTGGACCCACCCTTGCTCTCAAATTACCGCCTCATCTCCAACCTCCCCAGCTAACTTTCTTCAGTTAAACATTAGCCGAGTCCCTCCTGATTGGCTCCACACCTCAGGCACCGACAGCATCACCATCCATGGATGCACATTCCGTTTTACTAAGCCAGTCCGGAACCTTGGCATCTTGTTTGACCCTCAACTATCCTTTCTACCCCACATCCACGCCATGATCCACTCTGCTCAACCTCCACAATATCACCCGGCTCCACCGCTGTCTCACACCGTAGTCTGCCGAGACCCTCATACACGGATTCATAACATCCAGGCTTGACTATGAAAACTATGATTGTCGGCCTCTCCAACTCCTCCCTCCATAGGCTGCAGATCATCCAGAACTCTGCAGCCGTGTCCTCTCCCGCACCAGGCTCCGTGATCCTATCACCCCCCATCCTCGCCCAACTCCACTGGATACAGAGGATACAGTTCAAAATCCTGGCCCTCACCTTCAAAGCCCCCCCATGACCTTGCTCTCACCTACTTCTGCAACCTCCTAACCCCCTACCCGCTCCCTCCACTTAGCGAGCGGACTTCATGTCCCCCGCCTCGCCCATTGGTGGGTGGGCCTTCAGCCATTCTGTCCCCACCCTCTGTAACTCTATTCCGCAGTGTGAAAACATTTCTCCTCACCTCCCCTCCGTTTATTTTAGCAACTATTTTAAATCGGTGTTCTCAAGTTACCAACCCACCCGCCAGTGGAAATAGTTTCTCCTTGTTCACCCTATCGAATCCCCTCATAATTTTGAAAACTTTTATTAAGTCGCTTCTTAACCTTCTCTGCTCCAAGGAGAATAATCCTAGGTTCTTTAACCTCTCCTGAGTTTCATTTAATTTAAAAACACAACACCTCAGCTTCCTGTATTCTCTCGAGTTCAGGAGGTTACTGAGTGATCTGATCAAGGTGTGTAAAATTCTGAAGGGACTTGACAGGCTGAATAGTGCTTCCTCTGGCAAGAGAATTGAGAACTAGAGGCCATAGTCCAACTTGAGGCTAAACCAGTTAAAAGTGAAATAAAGAAATGTTTTTTCACACAGCAAATGGTGCAAGTATAGAATTCACTCCCCCATCAGAACGCAGGCAGAATCAGTTGAAGAATTTACAAGGCAAATGGATAAATGCTTCATAGATAGGGGTATCAGGGATTATGGAGAGGGCGAGGAGGTGTACTGAGTTGGGTTCAGTCACGATCTAGGAAAGTGGTGGGACAGGCTCGATGGGCTATATGGCCTCCTTCTGTTCCTTTGAGTTAACTCAAGCTACCTGCTCTTCCATTTCGCAAACACTAGTAAAAGAATCCAAGTAGTTTCGCCCTCATCACCCTCTGAACTTCCTCCCCATGAATTTTGAAAGCCATCAATTTAAGGTAATTAGCAAATGAGGAGATTATGAGAATTCATTTCACACACAGAGTGGTTAGGAAGAGAAATGCCTGGCCAGGAGTGGTGGTTGAGGCAGAATTCATATTCGCTTTCTAAAGGGAACTAGGTAAGATATCTAAAAAGGAGTAATCTACAATGGTAGGGGAAAAGGACAGGTAAATGGGACTGAAATGATTGCTCTTAAATGAGGCAGCACAGACACAATGGCCGAATGATCTTCTGGACTGTAAATATCTTTGGTTCTATGGAAAAACCTGAGAGTAAATTTGTCAAGAAGGCATTTGGCTACATAATCATTTACATCATAAACTTAAGAGTGGAGGGAAAATAAAATCATCTGTTTTTGGAAAACTATGGGCAAGACAACACAAGAGGGCAAGCTAACAACAGGAGAAGAAATAAATAAATTAGGAACCCTACTCTAGACTGTTGTGCACAAGGTTGCATAGTAGGGAGAGAAACAATGCAAGTGTCTCAAATAACTTCACAATTGGATCTATTGAAGAACTTGGGAAGGCAAAGCTACAATACCTTTGTGCAGACAGAAAATCATCGAAAGAAAATTAGAGATTCAGACACACAGTCACACACATACACTGAGACTGAACATGATAGAAAAAGATACAGCACAAATCCTGAGACAGTAATTATTAAGTTAGCACTGAAGTCAATTTGTATTTATGGGATGTCCAATTATTATAATAATCCTTGCATTTGATATAGCACTTTTCACGTCTTCTAGACGTATCAAAGCACTTCGTAGAATATACTGTAAAGTGAATGGACTGTATATTTGTGGGCGAACGCGGCAGCCAATTGCGCACAACAGTGTCCCACAAACAGTCGTGGATTGAAAATGACCAATTTATTATTGTTTTATTTTGGAGGGATTAATATTAGGCGTGTGCAGTAAGGAAACTTGCCCAAGGATTCGCCCTGCCTGGAATTGAACCCAGGTGTCTCACTTGTAAGACGAGTGCTCTAACCAGAGCTACAGGACTCCACAATTCACTTCCTGCATTGGGGGTCTGTTCTAAATATGACAGGCTCTCTACGGAATCAGGAACTGTGTTCAACAACGATGTTGTTCAGTTAGTACCAGTCTCACTTTCTTGGATTTTTAATGTTCAAAATAAAACACGATTTTCATTGAATTTACTTGTGTGTGTGTGTGTGTGGGGGGGGTTGAATCAAATTCCCCCTATTTTTAACACCGAAAAACAACCTGAATCCTTCGCTAGGTTTTTATTTTGTGGATAAAATTATTTTATTGATCCTTAAATATTAAGCTATAGTAATTTCAAATTCTTCACATTCATAAATAAAGACTTCCCATGTCACTTCCTTGCAAAGTTATATGGAGTGCATAAATTTCCTTACTTCATCGATCTCCCTCGCCAGCTCAAACAGCAGGGCAATGGCTTCCCCAGTTGCTATACGTAAGGTCACGCTGTCACTGCACAGGAGGTCAGGTAGTTTGGGCAGATGGCTGGAGAATACACAATGCAATACAATCTGTCAGGTGCAGAAGATTTCAGTATCAAAGTAGCAGACAAATGGTTTAAACGTAAAAGTTTGTAAAACCCGATTTCCCCAGTGGACAGTACAGTGTGTTATAGCTACAACACATTGGGCCACAACAACAAATTACATTTATATAGCGCCCTTCACGCCGGAAAGACGTTACAAAGCTCAGGTCAGTAAGGGATTTGGACTCTAACAGGAAGTTGGAATCAGGAGGGATGGAGAGCAGGGAGGGTTGGGGTAGGAGGGTGGCCGAAGGCACGATCGAAGAGGAGGGTCTTGAGACATGCCTTGAAGGAGGCAAGGGAGGGAACAAGGCGAAAGGACTGTGGGATGGAGTTCCAAAGAGTGAGGGCAGAGAGACTGTAAGCCCGACCGCCGATGATAGGGCAGGCCAGGCAGGGTACGTGTAGCAGGCTGGAGCTTGTTGTGTGGACAGGTTGATATGGGGTTAGCAGGTCACAGAGGCAGGAACGTAGGAAGGAGCAAGGCCATGAAGGCTTGAAGGCGAGGACAAAGATTTTGAATTCTATCCTCTGGGAGCTGGGCGCGGGTGATAGCACGATACTATCCAGGATATGCGTTGAGGTACTGATGGGAGTCTAACCAGCTAAAACCTGCCACCATGGATGGTTATAAAAGGGTTAGCCTGTGGTATACTTCAGTCTCTGAGGCACAGCGATAGATTTGTGTGTCAGATACCCAGCTGACCCCAAAAATTCAACTGAGCTCTGAAGCATGATCATGCTCGTTATTACATCAAGTACAATGATGGATCAGAACTTTCAAGCATTCATTAAACTTGGCCTCTGTGATAAAACGTGACTAACCAAAGAGTGTGCAGTCAGCCCAGACCTGGGCATCCACACTTACTTGTCCAATGACTTCTGAATTTTGGAGTGTGGACAGATGGCAAGCAGCACAGACCAGCATTGCAGAGCACTGCAGTGAAAGGCCTGGGTCTGAGGACTGTGGGAAGGGACTGATCCATCCCCCTTTTTATATGAAGCACTAAAGATACTTTCCAAACAAGTCAGGCAAAATGCGAGGTCCTGAAATAGGAACATAAAAGAATACAAGTTAGAAGTAAAAGATTCTAATAGGAACATTTGAAGCTTTTTAAAAATTCAACAATGGCCGAGTGGGTAAAGGCAGCACACATTGCAGCATATACAGACTAAGCTACAGGCTAACCCCTGAAACTACCCTGAGTGAGCTGATCTCAGTCAGGTCAGCAGTCAGGGAATATGCCCCTGTGAGGAGAAAAAACAACCAAATGTCCCCACTCCTGATCGATACCTGGAAGGTGTTAGGAGAGGACAGGATTGGGCTTGGCTGTAATGCCACAGTTTATTCTATTCAACTCACTTATGTACAATGGTCAGAAGTCATTCATTCGGACCCAGCGCCAATGGAACTGTTTCCCAGTAGAAAAAGAGGTGTCAAAAAACCTTCAAAGGGATGTAAATTGGAGATTTTTTTTAAAAATCAGAAAAAGTTTATTTCTGATCTGAGTGGGTGCATTTATAATAAAGGGGAATACCTACTGACAGTACAGAGCAATGCCTGTTCGCAGAAAATACATAAAGAGCTAGGACACAGTTCTTCCTTTCCCTCTCACTAACCGTTCTACACGTCACTGATATCCCATTAGGTCTCGGGAGCTGTGGGTGTGCACAAGTGCTCTGTCCATGCTGAACAGTCATCTTCATTCTAGCAAAAATGAGATAGACCTTTCCTACATGAAATACAGCGTAACTGACCTGTATATACTATATAGTGCCCAGCGTTCATATGGACAAATTCAAGCTTGTGTCAAACAATTTAAGTTCAGACAAAGACTTTTCCTGACTTATTGGGACTTGATCCATGCCCCAGACACTGGGAAGTGAACGTTGTGAAGTAAAGGACAAAAGGGGAATAAAGGTTAAAACAAGAATTGAAATGAAAAAAACACTACTGAGCCAGAGGTGAATTTGGGTTCAAGATGAGGGGTCACAGGTGCTGGCATCTAAGGGACAGATATGTTTAGTAAATGTTGAAAATCACTTAGCTTATCAATACATTAGCATTGGGCAAATGGCAGTGTGTTCGACAAGCCTAAAGGAGACTTGGATGGGTGAAATAAACTGGTGCCTCTAGGTCTGGGGTCACCATAAGTTAAGTGGTTTTATGACCCCAAAGTGTCAAGGAAGGTAAGATTAAGTGTTTTTATGAACCTCTGATGCTTGGGACGAGGGTTCTCAAGGAATCATTGGATGAACTAGTTTGGGAATGTGATTAGCTAAATCAAGATGGAATATGATTGAACAAAATAACCTTTGAATTCAATTTTTGGTTGTAAGGGTCACATGGACTAACTTGGGGTATAAAGGAAGGGGTCTGAGCTAAATTCTGGGAAGAGAGTAAGGGTTGCAGTTGGATTAACACCTGAACTAACACAATTAACCACTCAGATTCTGAAACCTTTCCAGAAGAGGTAAAAATTAGTAAAATTATCTCCTCTGTTTCCCGAAAGGTCTTGGTGTATGGAGGCTCAGTAGATTTAATAGGTATTAAAGTATAAGATTTCCTACTTATTAACGTTTGGTTATACATACTAAATAAAATATTGTTAAAGCAGAGTTAAAGTATTTCCGATGCCTATATTTGTTTTTTGCGTTGCTGTGCTACATTCTAGAAAGTTATTGTTTACTGGTACTTGTCAGAATAAATGAGAATAATTTAAGAGAAATAAAGTGTTGTGTTCTGTGAGAATGCTCTGACTGGGCTTGTATCTTCAACAAAATTGAGAAATAAATAATCGTGACTTTCAGAGTACACCTGGAAGGAGCGTTTAATTTATACCTAAAGAAAAGAGATAAGATACTGTGACAACATGCTACAGTAATACTAATAGGAACTGATGTCAAGTAATATGGAAACCAAGATTCACTCAGATATAAACTAAAGAACATTAAAACTCAGCGGGAAAGGACTTACCTCCACTTCATCTGCAGCTATGTAGCAGCACATTCCTATCGAGGTAGCACACTGAGCAAGATAAATCAAGAACAGCCATTAGCTAAGCAGCACATGTACAAGAACTGCTGACTTAATCTTAATTCCATTAATCTTTCTGATACTTAGTGAGGCGAGATGTTATTCTACGTGAAGACAACAACAAGATTACATTTGTATAACCCCTTTCACGTCGGGAGGACGTCCCAAGGCACTGGACAGAGTATAGCATTTCAGACCCGAGCTGGGGTCGGGAGGGGAAAGGAAGGGGGGTGGCCGATGGCATGGTGGAAGAGGAGGGTCTTGAGGCGGGACTTGAAGGAGGCTAAGGAGGGGGCGAGGCGGAATGACTGGGGGATGGAAGGCAGTTATATAAACGCAAGTTGTTATTGGATGAAATGCCCCTTTATTAATTCAGTCATCATGGAGTCACAAAATGCCATTGTAACTATATACTTAACATTTAGTAGTTGGACAGCAAAGTACTTATCCAGCTAGCACTGCCCTATCCAATATTGGTTTGGCTTGAGGTCGTGCACCTTAGTTTGGTTTGGATTACTGTTAACTTGGGAGACAATTCAGGTCACTGCAAAATAAGGACTAATCCCCTCTCAAACATGGGAAAATTTCTGCCCAAGGTTCATCCCTCACCAATTCTGGCTAGTGCCTGAGGCAGATGCTTCCCAGATTTGTCCTCATGAGGATCACACACAAGGCATACACAGTGTTAAGACTGCACCTTCATATGTTTACAGGCACTCAGGAGACTTACACTATGTCTACTGGCCAAGCTGGCAGACTTGTCATTAACGATGTTGAACAGTACAGACTTAAGGGTTTTGAAAACGTCTTCACCCTCTTTACAAGATCCCAGTTGAATGAGGAACAATGTTGCGACAGTGGCTGCGATAGCCTGCTCCTCAGCTTTCCCTATAGAAAGAAAACAAATGCTCATCTAGTATTACTGGACTCCACTAGCAATGGTAAAAATAATCCTAATTTTACTGGACTCAGTGAATATAGGAAATAAACTCAACCACATCCAGAAAATTCAATGGCTTACTCCAAATTGTTTTTAGGGCAGTTTACAAACTGGAAAAATTTAGTCACTCAATCCACGACTGTTTGTGGGGCACTGCAATGTGCAATTTGCTGACGTGTTTCGCCCACAAAGCACTTAGTCAATACACTTTACAATATACCCTGTGAAGCCCTTTGAGACGTCTCAATGTGATAAGGCGCCATACCAAATGCAATGAATATTATTATTATTACTGCAAACCTTACCTTGTTGGACCCAAGTATTGAAGGAAACTCACTGTTGGTGGCATTTTTTTTTAAAGAAACTGTTCATTTTAAACTAATGGTGACCAAAAATCACAAAGTCGCAGCTGAGGACACCTCATAATAATAAGGGCAAAGCCGACCAGCTTATCTGACTGCCCTAAACAGGGAATTTCCAGAGAATCCAGAGCTCCTGTGCTACAGGTTTTATATTATGACACTGCACACCTACTTAAGGGCAGCGTCTGAAAATACACATTAAAAAGTACAGAAACACAAAAATATTGAAAATAAAGCTTGTTGAAAGCTCCTAGTGATAGAGATCAGAGTCAGAATAAAATTATTACGTACAGTGAAACAGGCCAATCGGCCCAACCAGTACTTACCGGTGTTTGCACTCCACATCAGTCTCCACCGCTCTATTCACTTGCCCCTCAGGTGTGCATCAAGTTCTCTTTAATACACTAACTCTATTTTCTTCAACCAGTTTCCAGCAACGAGTTCCACACATCTCTGTATGGAAAAGTTCCTCCTAAATTTCCTATTAGACCTGTTACTGATTACCTTATATTTATACTTTCTAGTTTGTGACTCACCAAGTGGAAACAGCCCATCAACATCCACCTAATCCAATCCTTTTAGGTGTGAAATCCCTCGATCAGATCACAATGTACATGAAGAAACCAAGGCTAAAAAGAGAGGTTCTAAGATTTGCAGGAAGAGGATTTAGTTTCTCTTCCCAGTCACAATAATAGAGTCAAATACCAAACAATATTTAGCAATTTGAGATGATAAAGCAGCTCCTCCTTTCCTCTCAAATTGATTTTCTCCACTCCTTACATTGTAGTTATGTAGCACACACGGTTCTCTGAACCAGAGCCACTTCCAGGCCTCTTCTGCTCAAATCAGCCAGCAGGTGGCACAAGAGAACAGTGCAGTGACACGCTTAGCATTTCCCCTCTGTGAAGGGCAATAACACACTGCCAACACCACAACATAAGGAACTGGCTATATGTGCGCACACGTCAATGAAAAAAGACAAGGAAAGAGGGATAATATCACAATAATCCTTGCATTTTACATAGTGTCTTTCCACAGTGTCAAATATCTGAAAATAGGTGGGTTTTTATTTTAAAATGCAGTGATCCACCAACAGTCATGAAGTGAATGACCAATATAGCTGGAGGGTTGGCCAAGACACGGGGATCCTTAACGTCCACCTGAACATGCAGACAGGACCTCATTTTAACATCTCACCCAGAAGGCGCCTCCGTCAACTATGAGCAAAAAATCCAAATGTCGGGTTTGAACTCACAACCTCCTGACTCAGAGGTGAGAGCACAACTAACTGAGCCAGGCCCACACCTTTCATCTCTTTCCCTCCCTCACACATTATCACATCATCAGGATGTGCTCACCAGTGACATTTGATTTTCAACCAGCACCACAATTACACGTTAGCAAACTATACCTGTAAACATAGCATCCACATTTCCAGGGTACAATCCCCTGTATTCTCATTTGCCAGAAGCCACCTACCTTTTTTTAGACAGCGTTCTAAACAGTCGGTGACGGTGAGTCTCCTTTCCACCAAAAAATCAGTCAGAATTTTGGAAGAAAATGCTAATTTAAGGCTTTCAAGTGCATTCTGTCTCGTTTTAGCACTGAAATGTAAAGAAAATGATTACTTCAAATAAATATCTCCTCAATAGATTTATTATACGTTTCTTGCTCACAGGGGCCCTAATCACACATGTATACCCCCACAATGTGAGATGAAAGCAGCAACTCCTTTCCCCTACACCTCACCTCTTATCCATTGTATTATCTATACATTCCCTCAGTTTATCCTCAGCTTCCTCTTGTGCAGCCTGTTCATCAATGGCTTCGGTTCCTGAAAAAATAAAAGCAAGTGAGCACTGGCATCGGCTAGTTTCCGCACACTGTGAGAGAAATTTAACAGGAAGAAATAAAACAAAGATGCACTTTGAGGCTTCAGAAGCAAACAAACAAGACATTTTCTCTGTCCAGAGGGTGGCAAGGTGGCTTGCTCCCAATCCTTACCTAATGCTGTTCTCCCAATTGCAGGACTTCTCCATTACCAGTTTGGAAGCAACGCACATTACATCTCCAACCACTGACTCACCTCACTCTCCCATTAACCATGTTTATTTCATTTCTTCTTTGGTTGTAATTATAATTGTAAATGGCTCACGGTGAAAAAGGCATCATAATAAAAAATAATAAAATGAACACTGCAGGAATGAATGAGTCTGCCTTTCAGCCTGGGAATCAAATAATGATGGTGAAAGTGATTGAGTGCACCTGCCTGTTGTCTGATAGGTTTGGGCTGAACAAGGGTTCTCAAAGTCAGGTCAGTTTGAACATACCCCATTCATGTCCAAGTTCTTGCTATGATGGTGTGTCATTGGCAAGGAGTGGAGAACAGATCAGATTAAACCTCAGTGAGTACAGAACAGGCCACTTGCCTAAGTGACAACCTCCATCAATCAGGCAGGAGCCAATTTAGGCAGGAGCCGGCAGTTGGGAAGACACAGTGCTGAGTGTGGAAATAATACCAGCCGTTACCGCAGTCTATCAGAAGGGCCCTCGCAAGAGAGCGGCTCCTGCCCTGCAGATAGTGATTGCCACACGGCTGATTGGGAGAGGGGGGGGAGCGGGGAGGGGGAGAGAGCGGGGGAGGGGTAGAGATGAGAGGGTCTTAGAGGGGAGGGGGGAGAGATAGGAGTTAGAGGGGAAATGAGAGGGTGTTAGAGAGGGAGGGAGAGTGGGTTAGATGGGGATAGAGACGGGGGTTGGAGGAGGTTGAGGGGGTCCTGCGTCCTCCCAACCGTCAGCTCCTGCTGCTGCCCTGGGAGGATGCTCACCGGGGAGGGAACGGAAGTTGGACAAGTTCAGAGAATGTTGAAAGATTATACTCATTCAGCTTTCTCCTGAGGCTTGGGGTAGAATTTCTGGTGTGCCAAAGTATTGTCCAATTTATTACAGGTGGAGACTGAGGCCGTGTGCTCCAATGTAAAATTACTCTTACATAATCAGATAGGGTTCTCCTCCCACACATTTTTTTTNGCTAAGCACATGGAAATAAAAATGATGCAACCCTGTAAGGTTAGTCCTCCACCCCACCTGATTGATCCCAATCCCCTGCTCAGGTCCAAATTGCTGACCTTGGGACATCTTCCCGACGCGAAAGGCCCTATACAAATGTAATTTTGTGTCATCTTGTAGTCTGGCTTCTGCTTGGCAAAATGGTTTCTCATACCCAAGTGGTGGTAACTTTTGCGTTTGTGTTTTGCACAATTATACAGAATTCTGGTATAATTGTGCAATTTCAAATATGCTTCCGGCATTCTGAACACATCGCAGCTTCACAGCTCTGCAGGGGTTTGTTATCAGGTCATTTAAGGTCAGCCCATACAGCTCTGCAGGGGTTTGTTATTAACTAGGTTTACTTTAATGCAGGTTTTCTCCCCAAAATATACAAGCTAAAAGAAACACGGGCTATTCTGAGAAACGCTTGTGAAGATCACATTACAAAATTCACATCCTTTGCAATCAATGAGGGAAAACTATAGATTTAGCGAATTTGCCGCCAGCTTTAGTCAATCACCTGCATACATTCCTCTGAATACATGTTTGTTATACTGTTAGATCTACTTTAGTCCAGAAACAATTTATTTCCTCACCAAATCTAACAATACCGCTTAATGATTTTAGAAAATAACTAGCTGTACTCATTAAACTACACTTGCAACCACAGGATCCAATATGGAATGTAGATTTCAGTGATACCACTTAAACCATTTAACATGCCATAAACACTGTGTACACCTTAAGCAAAACTGCCATGTGATGAGCTTGTTTAGGTCATATCTCATCAATGATACGAGATACCCCCAAACATATGCCAATGACACTCTCCCATACCTCCCTTTCTGGTGAGGTATAAATCATGTCTCTACGTCAATTTATTAGTATAAGATATAATTCTCTGACTCTTATAATACTAATGCACGTTAACATCAAATTCTACAGCTTACCCATGGTTAAATACAAGTATTTTAAATATTTATGGAAGAGATTAGTATTGTAGAATTCATCTAATGCTTTGAAACTTTGTTTCTAACTCCCCGGTATAGGCATTTGCCAACAAAATACACAGTCACTACACTTGATAGTATATCTCAAGAAGCACTTTGAGACATCCTCCCGACGTGAAAGGCACAATATCAAATGCAATGATCATCAGTTTTAAAAAGATGGTAAATGACATCACGAGTACCAAGTGTACAACAACAACAATAAAATTACATTCGTAAAGCGCCTTTCACGTCGGGAGTAAGTCCCAAGGTGCTGGACAATCAGAATTTCGGACCCGAGTTGGGCGTCAGGATCGGGGAGGGTGGAGGGCAGGGGGGGAAGGAGGGTGACCGAAGGCACATTCGAAGAGAGGGTCTTGAGACGGATCTTGAAGGAGGCAAGGGAGGGTTGGGGTAGGGGGGCTGCGGGATAGAGTTCCAGAGGATGGAGGCAGAGTGGCAGAAGGCCCACCCCACCAATGGTGGGGTGGCCAAATCGGGGAATGTAAAGCAGGACGGAGCCCACTGAGCAGAGGGAGAGGCAGGTTGGTAGGGGCTTACGAGGTCGCAGAGGTGGGGGGAGCAAGGCCATGGAGGGCTTTGAAAATGAGGACCAGGATCTTGAACTGTATCCTTTGTGTGATGGGAAGCCAGTGGATTTGGGTGAGCACGGGGGTGATGGGGTCGCGGTGCCTAGTGCGCGAGAGGACACGGACTGCAGAGTTCCAGATGATCTGCAGCTTATGGAGGGAGGAGTTGGGGAGGCTGACAAGCAGGGAATTTGCACATTGAGCCTGGATGTTATGAATGCGTGTATGAGGGTCTTGGCGGCCTGCGATGTGACAGTGGTGAAGCTGGGCGATGTTGCGGAGGTGGGGGAAGGCAGAGCTGGACATGGCATGAATAGTTGAGGGTCAAACAAGATGTCAAGATTCCGGACTGGCTTAGTAAGGTGTTGTTGAGTGTGCATCCGTGGATGATGATGCTGTCAACTCCTGAGGTGTGGAGATGCTGATGGGAGCCAATCAGGAGGGCCTTGGTCTTGTTGACATTCAACTGTAGAAAGTTAGCTCTCATCCAGGATACCAAGTATACAGATATTCTTCCTTTTTTTTTTAAGTATTCTGTGACAATTCAATGTAAAATAAGGAAGTCATTTGGCAATCAAACCCATTCCTTTTTAATCAGACATTGGCTGACTCCCTGACTTACTTAATGACCTAAACAGATTAGGAATTGTATCTTGCATTTGTAAGACACAGTGAAAATGCTATGATTGCACCGCCTCCACTTTGTGTGGCTGAATGGCTCGTGTGGCGTTCCCCAGGGCTCTATCCTTGGTTCTATCTTCTTCAACATCTATGTGCTCTCTCTTGGTGATGTTATCCGCAGACATGGGGTCAACTTCCACATATATGCGGATGACACCTTACGCCATCTCTCTGCCTCCACTCTCAACTCCAGGACCACTGCTGTCCTGCCAGAATGCCTGTCAGACATCAAGTCCTGCCATGAGAGCAAACTTTCTCCAGTTGAACGTCATCAAGACTAAGGCCCTCCTAATTGGCTTCTGTCAGCACCTCCACACTTCAGCCGCTGGCAGCATTACCATCCATGGAAGCACACTCCACCTCACTGAGCCAGTCCCCTTGGTGTCACTCTACCTCACGTTGGAGTCTTGTTTCACTCTCAACCATCCTTTCTACCTCACATCCATGCCATCACCTGTTCTGCCTTCCCCCACCTCCCCAACATCGCCCAGCTCCGCCGCTGCCTCTCCCCTCAGACTGCCAAGACCCTCACCCATGCATCTGTTACATCTAGGCTCGACTAAGCCAACTCCCTGATTGTTGGTCTTTCCAACTCTTCCCTCCACGAGCTGCAGATCATTCAGAACTCTGCAGGTCATATCCTCTCTTGCACCAGGCTCTTTGATGCTATCACACCCACCCTCGACCGGCTCCCCGTCCTTCAGAGGATGGACTTCAAAATCCTCGCCCTCAAGGCTCTCCACGGCCATCCTCCTTCCTACCTCTGTCACCCCACACCGACCTGTCTGTTCCCTCTGCTCAGCAGGCTCCACGTCCCCCACCATCAGCAGTGGGACTTCAGCCTCTCTGCCTTTACCCTCTGGAATTCTATCCCAGTCCCTTTGCCTTGCTTCCTCCCTTGCCTTCTTCAAGGCATGTTTCAAGACATTCTGATCCCAATCCCCTGTTCGAGTCCAAATTCCTGCCTGTCCAGCACCTTGGGACTTCCTCTCAGCATGAAAGGTGCTATACAAATGTAATTTGTGTTGATGGATAGTCGAATCAATCAATACTGACCAACTACATTCAGCAAGTGGCTGTAATCTTGTGATTATGCTATAATGCAATTTAATATATAGTATTACATCTATTATAGATAGACCTCTATTATACGTTCCAAGATTCATTCACTCCCCCATACTAGGAGGTAGGCAAGCAGCAATTTACACACAATAGTTTGAACTGCTTAGTACTGTACGTACCTTCTTCAGGAACACTGGCTGAATCGCTGGTACTGCTGTAGTGGCTGAGCACTTCACTGGCAAGGTCATCATCACTCGCCTGAGAATCTCCTTTAGCTCCATTCCGCGCCCCTGTAGACAAAGGCAGCACAGTGAACACCTGTCTCTACAGATACATAACGAGTCTGGATTACATGCGCAAATAAAGTGTTTGGAAGGCAGCATATTATTATTCTGTAGACTGTGGTAATGCAAACAATAATTTCTACATCTGCCAAATTTTTAAAAAAAAACTCTTCCAGGCTCCAATTTCTACATGCTCCCTGGCCCCGAGTCCAACCAATAATAATTGACAATTATCAAAAGATAGATGTGATTGCTGTATAGCTAACAAATGTTCCCTCAGAAGTCAAATGAAAAATGTTCTGTACCATGCTCAGCTCTGGCCAGGCTACAATTTAATATTCTCCAACTTAAAACCAATAAAACAACTTGGGGACAATTAACAGCGCTCAGGACAAAAATAATCAGAAATTGTGAACAGGTTTTATGGGCAAGCACATTTGTTGTTGAATTGCTGCTGCATCGAATTTTCTTCTCAACATGAAGCCAGCACAAAGGCTAAGACAATGGCCCTGTTCACTGTAGCTCACGGGGTTAGGATTGCTGAGGCAGACAGCCTGCGCTATGCAACAGAATGCTTTCTCCACAGATCACACACAGAAGGCTATCATTGCACTAATCCCTTCCAGATACATCTCCACACAAATCTGATTCTCAGGATACAACAGTCTGAACTTCAAAAATTGGGAGTGGTTTTATATCCTCCCCTCTTATTTTTTGGGTGCATAGAATTCTCATTCTATTCCTCTAAGTCAGACACCATCATTCAAGTAACCAACCAATGCCACATTAAGAGGCACTGCAAACACAACTACCCTGTAGAGCTTGGTCACTGTTTGGCATCTTCCTGGGATAAACTCTCAGCATCATTTTCTATATGCACCACTCACTCACTCACAAAGCAGTTTGTGGTGTGTAACATAACATAACATGTAGGAGCAGGAGTAGGCCATTCGGCCCTTCGAGCCTGCCCCGCCATTCAATCATGGCTGATCTTCTAATCTAACTCCAGCTAATAACCTAACCCTGCCTTATCCCCATACCCCTTAATCCCTTTTGCAATAAGAAATCTATCTTATCTCAGTCTTGAATATGTTCAAGGACTGAGCATCAACAGCCCTTTGGGGTAGTGAGTTCCATACATTCACCACTCTTTGAGTGAAGAAGTTCTTCCTCAACTCAGTGCGAAAGGGCTGCCTCTGATTTTAAGGTTGTGGCCCCTGGTTTTAGTTTCTCCAACCAGGGGAAACAATCTCCCACTATCTACTCTATCATGCCCTTTGACGATATTATAGATTTCTATAAGATCCCCTCTCATTCTTCTATATTCTAGAGAATATAGGCCCGAATTGGTCAGCCTATCCTCGTAACTCATCCCCTTCATCCCTGGTACTAACCTAGTAAATCTACGCTGCACCCCCTCCAAGGCAAGTACATCCTTCCTTAAATAAGGAGACCAAAACTGCACACAGTATTCCAGGTGCGGTCTCATCAGGGCCCTATACAGTTGCAGCAAGACTTCCCTACTCTTATACACTAATCCTTTCATAATGAATGCTAACATACCGTTAACCTTCCTAATTGCTTCCTGCATCTGCAGACTAACTTTCTGTGATGGTGTGCAAGGACACCCAAGTCCCTCTGGACGCTAACACATCTCGCCTTCTAAAAAATAACCCGCTCTATTGTTTTTGCTACCTAGGTGGATGACTTTGCACTTCCCTACATTATACTTCATCTGCCACCTACCTGCCCAATCACCTAACCTATCTACGTCTCGCTGCATTTTTTTAATGTCGTCCTCTGTTTGACACTTCCTCCTAGTTTTGTGTCATCCGCGAATTTAGATATATTAACTTCGATGTCCTCATCTAGATCGTTGATGTAGATGGTAAATAGCTGAGGCCCAAGGACTGATCCTTGTGGCACTCCACTAGTCACATCCCGCCAATCTGAAAAGGACCCGTTTATCCCTACTCTTTGTTTCCTACCCGTTAACCATTCCCCAATCCACGTTAATGTGCTCCCCCCAATTTCATGGGCCCTTATCTTTTGGACTAACCTTTTATGCAGCATCTTATCGAATGCCTTCTGGAAGTCCAAATGGACCACATCCACAGATTCACCCTTATCTAGTTTACTGGAAATGTCCTCAAAAACCTTTTACAATCTGACTTAATGTTCCTGGCTAGCTTACCCTCATACTCCTTTTACTCGCTCTTAATGAGTTTTTTAGTTTTATTTTGCTGGTTTCTAAAACTTACCCAATCTTCAGATTTGCTTCTTTTCTTGGCAGTTTTATAAGCCTTTTCTTTTAATTTGATGCTTTCCCTAACTGCTTTAGTTAGCCACGGATGAATTGCTTTCCCTTTGTTACTCTTATTCCGCAAGGGAATATACGACCGCTGAGAATTTTGCACTACATCCTTAAATATTTGCCACTGTTGGTCTACATTTTTACCTCTTAATCTTATTCTCCAGTCTACTTTATCTAAATCTTTCCTCATACCTACAAAATTAGCCCTATTTAAATTCAGAATACTTGCCTCGGATTTAACTGTATCCCTCTCTAACTTAATGCAGCATTCAATCATTTTGTGATCACTCTGCCCTGGAGGATTCTTAATACCTACGCTGCCAACTAGCCCTGTTTCGTTACACAAAACAATGTCTAGGATGGCCTGTCCCCTAGTTGGTTCCTCGGCATGCTGCTCTAGAAAGTTCTCTCTCATACACTCAATGAACTCTTCTTCTGACCTACTTTTGCCGATTTGGTTTTCCCAATCTATGTGGAGATTGAAATCACCCACTATTATCGCTTTACCTTTCCTACATGCTCCACTGATTTCTTGATTGATACCCTGTGCTATATTCTGATCGCTGTTTGGGGGTCTATAAACCACTCCCATTAATATTTTCTGCCCTTTATTATTTGTTATTTCCACCCATATTGTCTCGACCTCCTGGTCATCGGATTTCAGATCCTTCCTCTCCACTGCTTTTATTTTATCCCTAATTAACATGGCCACCCCCCACCTCTTTTCCCACAGTGCCTATCTTTCCTGTAAACTGAGAACCCTGGAATATTTAACTCCCACCCTCGATCTCCTTGTAACCATGTTTCAGTGATGGCTACTAGATCGTACCCATATGTGTCTATCTGTGCTTTTAATTCATCAGCTTTATTCCGAATGCTTCGCGCATTCAGATATAACATTTTTAATTTCCTACCATTTCCTCTACTCTGATTCTTATCTACTTTGCCAAGCTTCTTACCCCAGTTAACATATTATCTGGCATGCTATTCTGCACGGTCATCTTTACTTTTTCTAATGCTAACTTATGGTTTCTCTTACCTATATATTCCCCCCTCTTTACTAGTTTAAATTCTTATTTATTTCCCTGTTAATTCGTTTAGCTAGGACATTTGTCCCAGCACAATTTAAATGCTGCCCTTTTCTCTGAAAGAGCTTTCTTTTTCTCCAATGCTCATGCCAATGGCCCATAAAAAGAAACCCCTGAGTTTCGCACCACTCTTTTAGCCATGAGTTCAAGTCCTTAATTTGTTTGTTCCTGTTCCAATTGTCGTATGGTACAGGCAGTAGTCCTGATAATGAAGAACCAGCTCTTTGAGTTGAACATTATTTGGGGGCTGAGGGCAAGTGGTGGCTAGTCTAGAGCAAAGATAAATGAATTCATTCCTTCAATCTAACCGGGGACCTCATGGTCTCAAAAATTTCTCAAAAAGAGAGAAGCAGACTATCCTTTTGGTGAAGTTCTGATAGGTTTCTATAAAAAAGTCACTGAAAAATCTAGTTTCAGCACTCAACAACAACAACAACAACAAGATTCCATTTATAGAGCGCCTTTCACGTCAGGAGGACGTCCCAAGGCGCTGCACAGTTGGGTCATGACCCGAGCAGGGGGGAAATGGTCAGGGTGAGGGGAGGGAAGGGAGGGAGCGAGGAGGGGGAAATGGTCAGGGTGAGGGGAGGGAAGGGAGGGAGCGAGGAGGAGGAAGAGAGTCGAGAGGGGAGCTGAAGGCACGGTCAAAGAGAAAGGTTTTGAGACCGGCCTTGAAGGAGGAAAGGGAGGAAGCAAGGCGAAGGCACTGGGGGATGGAGTTCCAGAGCCTCGGGGCTGAGAGGCTGAAGGCCCGACCACCGATAGTAGGGCGGTTGGGGCGGGGGACGTGGAGCAGACCGGAGCCAGAGGAACGGAGGGTACGGGCAGGTAGGTAGGGGGATAGTAGGTTGGAGAGGTAGGAGGGAGCAAGGCCGTGAATGGCCTTGTAGGTGAGGATGAGGATCTTGAAATCAATCCTCTGGGGGATGGGGAGCCAGTGGAGGCGAGCGAGGGTAGGAGTGATGTGGTCCCGAAGCCTGGTGCGGGACAGTACACGAGCTGCAGAGTTCTGAATGACCTGCAGCTTGTGGAGGGAGGTGCCGGGAAGGCCGGCGAGGAGAGAGTTCCCATAGTCCAGCCTTGAGGTGACAAAGGCGTGAACCAGGGTTTCAGCAGCGTGAGGGGTGAGGTAGTGCCGTAATCTGGCGATATTCCGGAGGTGATGGAAGGCGGTGCCAGTTGTGGTGCGGATGTGAGGGAGAAAGGACAGCTCAGGGTCGAACAAAACGCCGAGGTTCCTGACTGGCTTTGAGAGGTGGAGAGTGCAGCCTTGGATGCTGATGGTGTCAGCGCCTGAGGTGCGGAGGCGCTGACGTGAGCCAATCAGGAGGGCCTCGGTTTTTTGCACGTTGAGCTGAAGAAAGTTGTCTCTCGTCTAGGACTCGATGTCGGACAGGCAGGCTGTCAGGACATCGCTGGTCGTGGAGTTGAGAGTAGAGGAGGAAAGGTAGAGTTGGGTGTCATCCGCATACATGTGGAAGTTAACCCCATGTTTGCGGATGATGTCACCAAGGGGGAGCATATAGAGGGTGAAGAGGAGGGGACCGAGGACAGAGCCCTGAGGGACACCACATGAGACAGTACGGGGGGTGGAGGAGAAGCCA